GGGCTGCAGGCTGTATGCTGCCTTAAACGAGTCCATGTGTTGCTTTCCATCCCCATTATACCTAAATTCGGGGTCTTTTGGCACTGCTGTTCAACGTGTTTATATTTGCATCTGTTACGCCGCCTTCCTTTGGTTGCAGTTCTGCCTCTATTCACTCCTCATAGGTCTTTAACCTGAATCCTCAGCTCCCCATCTAAAATGTGCCTGTGCCGCACGACTCCGCATCTCCCGTGCAGATCCTGGACTCCAGAGCTCTCTAATGGCCTTCCTTGCGCTTCCACCCCATGTCCCCAAACGCTGCACTGACCTCACCACGTCCCAGTGACCAGCACCAGTCGTTCAGGACAGAAACCTCGCAGCCTCCTTTCTTCACCCGGTCCAGTCTGTACACGGTCTGCCTGGTAATCCCACCTCCACCAGGATTTCTAACCGCCCACTTCTCGCCACATCCCCTGCCTTACCCCCACACCCCCCATCTTAGTTCAGCCCCTCATCAACTGAACTGCCTGGATTATACCACATTTACTGCTGCAAACCCAGATGTTTTTGAGATCTAGGGACAGTAACACCAGGAGACTAGGGTCTGAGGTTCAGCTCTGTCACTGATTAGTCCTGTGATCTTGAACAAGCCCTCTGACCCCTTTTTGGAGCCTATCTCACACAGTGCTCAGGTAGTAGGGATTACAATAGAGCCTACATGAGATGCTTTGTTAAGTAAACAAGGGAGGTTTCGCATGCCCATAGCCAACTTAAGAGGGGGTGGAGAGTAAAAAGCACCAATATTTGTTGAGCCCCAAGTATGTGCCATACCCTGGTTGGGGCACTGCTCACACACAACCTCCCTCCATCCTCGGGGCTCCACACTGCTGCCTATCCAGAGAGCAGGGGAAGACACAGATTCGTGTCCCTAGAAGGGGGCTGTATGCAACACGGCTGCCCAGACCCTCCAACTCGTTTCCATGTGCCTTGATGTTCCTCCTGGGTCCACATTGTTCCCAGACTGTCTGTTCTCTGAACTGTTATGCAAATCCCAGCTAGCCCAGTATCCATAGAAACCAGAATCTCCCGTCTTCCTCAGCCTATTCCCTGGCAGAAGAATCCCACCCAGGTGACACCCACAAACAAGGACAAGCAGCGCCCCAGAGAAGGGGAGCTTCCCCGTGCCCTGGGCTATCAGACTTCAGTACTTACTGTTTAGTAGTTCCTGAAGGCATCTGTCAGGTCCTCCAGTCACGGCTGGGAGAAGGAGTGAGTGGCACAAGCCAGTGCAAGAAGCTGCATTTTCTTTTTGAAATCTGGAAGGGAGATGCTGTAATCCCAGCATCTCACATCGCTAACCATCATTTTTGTCCAAATAGCTCCACTGCTACTGCAAGTTAAGGTCACCTTCACAGTGGACATGAGTCAGTATTTGTCATCATCTTTAATCTCATACATACAAGTACGTATGTCATCTCTGGAACATAACAACATGATTTCATTGTGCATAATCGATTACTAATTTTATTAACTTTTTTAAAGATCTCACTCTTCTCCAGAATAACCTTTATGCCTAAAACATTATGACTCATTAGTCTTTTTTTCCACCCTAGGGTCAAAACATGAGACAAAGTTTCTGCTCCCAATCCCAGGTTCTGGAATATTGGCCAGCAGCAGCACCCTGAGTCAGCAATCCCTACTGTGCACAAGACATAGGCTTTTGCTAGTGACATAAATTATGAATCACAGGATGCTAGAATGGAATGACCTGGAAAACACATGCAAATGTCCAAGTTTCCCTGTTAACAGAAAAATACAATGGCTATATCAATCTTGCAACTATTTAAATAGCAGAGCCAGGTAAAACAGTAAACTCCCAACTGTGCCAGATCCTCTTCTAAGTGTTTCACACATTTGCTCATTTAACCTCATATCCACCTTATGAGGTAGGAACTCTTACTGTCTTCATTTTCCTCACGATGAAACTAAGGCACAGAGAGGTTAAGTAACTCCCCCAAGGTCACACAGCGGTTGAGTCAGAGTTTAGGTCCAGGTTGTCCAATCTGGTATCCCAGCCTCTTAACCACCAGAAACCTTTGTAAGGGTTCTAGTGAATTTAGATTTTAAAAATGTACATTGAGGCCGGGCACAGTGGCTCATGCCTGCAATCCCACCACTTTGGGAAGCCAAGGCGGACAGATCACCTGAGGTCAGGGATTTGAGACCAGCCTGGCGAAACCCCATCTCTACTAAAAATACAAAAATTAGCCAGGTGTGGTGGCACATGTATCCCAGCTACTCAGGAGGCTGAGGCAGGAGAATTGCTTGAACCCGGGAGGTGGAGGTTGCATTGAATTGAGATCGCACCACTGTACTTCAGCCTGGGCGACATGTGTATTGAGGTCTCAGGTTTAAGGTTTCTGCTTTGCTTTTTCTGTTTTAAAACCTTAAGGTGAAGTATTTAAACACAAACAGAAAGTCAAATCCATCCACTGAACGGACTGCATGAAAACATCAGTACAGACCGCCCCCTTGAGAGAAAAGGATTTTAATAACATCTTTGGGGTTTTTGCCTCTTGGTTGGGATGCTCAGGGATGACAGCTAGAGCTGTCTGCTCTAAATTATAATGTATTGGGGTGAACAGAATATACCCATCAACAGGATATGTGCTATGCATAAAACATCTCTGGGAAGATTGAAAAAAAAAACTGGTAATATATGTTGCCTACCAGGGGTGTTGCTGAGTGTTTGGGCAGAAGGAGACACACTGTTCTAGTACATTTTGTACCTTTGGGACTCACAGCCATGTAAATGGATTATCTAATCAAACAACACAAATTAAAGACAGGGTCCTGCTTGTTGTGAGTGGTTGCATGCCTGTACTTACTGCTTTGAATCCTATTTTTTGGGTTCTTACAACATAACCATTTTCTCATGCTACCGAAAGTTTTTCATGAACATGAGTTTTATGCAAACATTCTTGTTAAAAATCTGAAGAAATTGGAGCACTCCCAACACAGGTAACTTCTACTTCTCAATCTCTCACTTTTATTTGGGATTTGTCATCACTGGGAATCACAATTCTATATTCAGAATCTCCCATTTCTGAAGAACTAGCCAATGTGTATTAATCCTGTCCTAAGTTTAGAACACAATACTTCACATTTTTACCATCATTTTCCTCAATGAATCCCCACAAGTGCCCGAGGTAGATATTGTCATCTTCATTCTACGTGAGGGAGCAGAGGGTCAGAAGATTCAGGCAGCCCAGAAATCACAGGGCTTGCATCTGGATCCAGAATCTGGACTGTGGGCTTCATGCCACTTTCTCCTTACCAAAATGCCACCAGTTGGTCTGTGGCACTTTCAAGGGCAGCTCTCCTGCCCTGCAGTGCACGTCTCTAACCATATACATACTCTACAATCATTTATTTATTTTTTATTATTATTTTTTTTGAGGCGGAGTTTCACTCGTTGCCCAGGCTGGAGTGCAATGGCACCATCTCGGCTCCTGGAGTGCAATGGCACCATCTCGGCTCACCGCAACCTCCGCCTCCTGGGTTCAAGAGATTCTCCTTCCTCAGCCTCCCAAGTAGCTGGGATTACAGGCATGTGCCACCACGCATGGCTAACTTTGTATTTAGTAAAGATGGAGTTTCACCACATTGGTTAGGCTGGCCTCCAACTCCCAACCTCAGATGATCCACCCATCTCGGCCTCCCAAAGTGCTGGGATTATAGGCATGAGCCACCGCGCCTGGCCTCAACAATCATTTATTATGGTCTAGCAACATTCACAGATTTGGGGCCTGAAAGAGGAAGATGACATGCTTCCTGCACTCCCAGGTCTCCAAGCACAAAAGACAGCGAGGTGCTCTTCCAGCAAAACGGACAGCATGCAGTGGCAGCCCAGGGAGCCCCGGGCAGGTCTGGGAAGGCACCGCCAAGCTGAGAAGGGGGACTGAGGGACAATAAAAGGAGGGCGACAGGCGCTGCAGGCAGGAGGAACAATGGGACCCTGCACCCAGGAAGGCTGGGCAGGGTCTGCGTAAACAGTGGTGACCACGGTAGCAGGAGCCAGCCAGGGAGGGGTCTCGAATGTCACTCTGGAGCTGGGAAAACTCTTGCCACTTCCCCATCACTCATCACAAGGGTCATGAAAGACTTCCACTATTGTGATATGGAGCAATCAAATTATGTTGAGAGAAATTTCAACCCCCACAAGAAGAAGCGAAAAAGGAAATGGTCCCTGTGCACCTAATTCTGACCAGTTGATACCAGGTGGCTGACATGGACGTGACTGGGAGCCTGGAGGTCACTGAGGTTCTCGCATGCTCTGAGACTCTGGTTTCTGAGGTGCTCACGCTGCTGAGACATTCAGGAGGTGGGGAGGGGCCCCACTTCTGCAGATGAGGAAATAAGCTCAGGCAGGCAGAGTGTGCCCCAGGAGATATCATGTAAGTGGCAGAGTCAATATGACCAGAAGAGCCAGAGCAACTGAGGTCAGGACATTTCAGTGACAATGGGCCCCTGGCGAGGGCAGGTGGTCTGTTTCAAGGGTAACAGGAGCCTGGTCCGGCTGCAGCGGTGTGTGAAGAGACTGAGAAGACTCCAGGTATAAAGGCAGAGCGCGATGACAACATGCCCTGAGAGCTGCCCTGGAGAAATGCACTGCAGCGGGTTGGAAGTGGGGTCCTTCCGGGTGATGGGAACATGAACGATGGTGCACGTGGAATGGATGCAAAAGTGAGAGAAACTGGAGAACGGGGACCTTCCCATGGAGCTGCTGCTTTGAGCCTGGACACAGTAATGAGAAGGAGAGTGACGGGGTGAGTGGAAGGTGAGGGCAGGAGAGGGACTTCCGGGAAGAATTAATGAACTCGTGGACTAGGGCTTCCTGCCAACAGAACAACTGCCCCATCCCTGAGCCAAAACCCAGAACTTACATGGACCTGAGGACGGTATCAAAAGTGAGATTTCTAGGATACATATACAACAAAAGAAAAAATAAAAACTGGACATCATCAAAATGAAAAGCTTTAGTATTTCAAAGGACATCATCAAGGAAATGAAACAGTTCACAGAGAAAAATTTTATAATCATATACCAGTTAAAGGAACTTGTGCTAGGCTATAAAGGGACTCTTACAACTCAATAATAAAAAGACAAATAACCCAATTAAAAAAGGAGCAAGTGATCCAAAGATAGTTGTCCTAAGAACATATGCAAATGGCCAATAAGCTCATGAAAAGATGCTCAATATCATTCGCCATCAGGGAAATGCAAACCAAAATCACAATGAAATGCCACATCACCCCTACTAGGACGGCTAAAGATGGATAATAAAAAGCACTGAGGCATGTGGAGTAATCAGAACCCTCATGCCCTGTTGACGGGATATAAAATTGTGTCGCCACACTGGAAAACAGCTTGGGAGTCCCTCAAGGGTTAAACAGTTTCCACATGATCCAGCAAATCTGCTCCCAGGCAGATACCAAAGAGAAATGAAAACATATGTCCACACAAAAACTTGTACACAAGTGTTCCTAGCAGCCTTATGTATAATAGTCAAGAAGTAGAAACAACCCAAATGTCCACCAATCGATGCATGATAAATAAAATGTAGTACTATCATTCCATACAATGGAATATTAGCCGACGAAAAAATAAAGCTGAACACATGCTACAACGTGGATGAACTTTGCTTATAAGAACGTTGAAAAGAAAATGCCAAAAGAAAAATGAGTTTTAGCTCAAATATCATTTTTTAAGAGGCCTGGCCTGCTCAAGTTATCCTGTTTAAAAAACAAAAAACCAAAAAACTCTTCCCATATCTAGAGTGAAAATAAAAAACATTTTTAAAATTTTAATATAACGAATGAAATAATTTCAGGTCAAGTTTATCATATAGAAATTATATTAATGGGTGTGATAAATACTTTATAGGAGTGTCACACTCTCAGACGCTTTGGCTCCCAAAGGGCTTGGAGTTTTTGTGAGGATGAGCGTCTTCCAACCAGGTGCATGCGCTGGTTTGCCAACATCCTCACCACACCCAACCCAGCCCCTTCACACACTGGCATTGCCTACCTGGGCCCTCCTTGTGGCTCTAAGTTTTATGTAACCAGTGTACACAATATACTTATAATCAACTAATAGGCATGAGTCATGATTTGTTTAAAATGTCAGTTTTTGTGAACTGGAGGGGATGGGCAGAAAGTGGGATGCTGAGTCCTTGGTCAGGAATGTGACCCAGATTTTAACACTGCTCCTAGGAAAAAAAAAACTTCCTTTTATGATGCCACTTCCTGGGACATAGTGAGTTGACGATTAAAAACTCTCTTCAGAGATGTGGGAGAAAAAACAAGCCTAGGGAAAAGTCTGCAGGCACGGTGGAGGAAGTAATTCAGGATGAAATCGCAAGTGGTAGAGCAAGCATGACCAGGCTGATGTCAGCAGAGACAAGAGGGCAGCGAGGCCCAGTCTCCTCTTCCCTCTCCCACAGCGTTTAGGGCCACGTCCACGGCACCACCCTTCTCCTTTCTTCCCAACCAAAAAGGGTACCCCCTTTCCTTCCTTTCTGCAGACACTGATGAGAATTAACCAGAGGAATTTCCTCCACAGCGACTATAGCAGGATGTCCTCATCCAGTCTTCCTATCTCATTTCCAGATGGGGAAACGGGCCTGGCAAGGAAATAGGCCGAAACCACGATTTTAAATGTTGTGTTTAAGTGCTCTGCAACCCTGGGTTCAGAAGAAACTGTGCAAGAACAGATCAATCAGAGCTGATCTGATGGGGACGGGGGATACAGCCATGCAGAGGCCCTGCATTAACTGTATTTCCTGTACTCTTGATGCTCTCATATCTGGGGTCTCGCTGACCTAGACAGACTGCTCCTCCCAGGCTAGCCAATCCCCTAATCCCTGAAGATAGCAAGCATCCGGCTGAGCACACATCTTTCCTACGGAAACCAACTAATCCGGAGCGATGGTGCCAGCTGCCTCCTTCACATGGCTCTCCCAGGGCTGTCACACCCCAGGCCAACATTCACCTGTCCTGACTATCCTGGGGCCAGGTATCAGACAAAAAGACCAGCCCCTACGCTGAGAGCCACTGAAATTACTCAAGTCAGCTACCCCTAAACCTGTCTCCCCTGCTTACTCTGCCTTGCCCATTTCCTCCTGAGAAAAGCAGACGAAGTCTCCTGCCCAACTGTTCCCCTCCCTCCTTCCTCCCTCTGACCCACCCTGGGGCTTTCCTATGCAGCCCCTCCTCTTGGAACCATAAGTAACAAACTTTCCTTTCCATGGCAGTCCCCGCCTCATCCAAGGGCTTTACCACACCTGGATGAGATGGCTTACAACAGGCCCATTCTAGAAGTAAACATTATTCTCAGAAATCTGGGAATGGGGATTCAGAAAATTCACATTGTGGAGGTGCCACGACTCGGGAGAGCCTGGCCAGTGAGGTGCCACCCAGATAGCTCCTGACTGTGGACAGAGAAGGGACCAAACATGGAGAGAGGCACAGCCTGGAGTCACGGAAAAGGACCAGGCGGGACAGGGGGAAGAGCCTGGCAAGGAGGTGGGGGCACAGCAGTGCCCAAGCAATGTGGGCATTAGGAAGAGGGCAGAAAGAAAACAGTGCCGTGGCACAAGACCTGGGCAGCCCCGGGCCGGCTCAGCCGTCCAGTTCTTCCTTGATGCTGATGTGCAGGGGGCAGATGCGCAAAGGCTCTGGAGGCCCAGCTCCCCGTGCACCCCCCAGGTAGAAGTAGGGGCGCACCTCCCCAAAGCGCGCATGGAAGGTGTACAGGTGGCAGTGGCGCTCCGCGTCATAGAAAGACAGCTCGCCCTCCTCGCACTCCAGCTCCACACGCAGGCGGCGTGGGATGGCCAGGACCAGGGGCGACGAGGCTGGGTCCGAGGTCACGCAGTGGTCCCCCTCCACGCCCTGCGTGCGGCAGACGTACCAGAAGCCCGAGCGTGTGTCGTGGTAGCAGCTGTGCGAGTGGCCCTCAGCGCCCGAGTCCTGGCGCACACGTACCACGCCCACCCGCCAGCTCTGCAGCCCCCCCAGGGCCACCTCCCAGGCGTGCGAGCCCTGAGAGAAGACACGGGAGCCCAGCAGGCAGGGCGCCGAGGAGAAGCGTTCCGGGTTCTCCACCTGCACGCGGTAGCCGTGGTTGGTGACGCTGGTGAGGTCGTCAGACACGGAGAGCCAGCCGGCTGCGGTGTTGGGGTCAAAGCTGAAGGGTACTGCGAGCAGGGGCAGAAATGGGGAATCAGCAAACCTGAAGTCCCTTAGGCCACACGTGGATACCTCCAGCCCCACAAACCAACCACTGTGTCCCACCTGGCCCCAAGTCCATGCAAGGAGCGGCCCAGGGCTGGAGCCGTGGCAGGGGTTGGGCTGTATCCCCCAGAAGATATGTGGCAGTCCCGACCCCTGTACCTCAGAGTGTGACCTTATTTGGGAGTGGGGTGGTTGTACATGTGTTAGTAAGACTGGAGGAGGGTCCCCAATCCAATATGACCTGTGTCCTTATAATAAAGAGGAGACAGATACAGACACACAGGGGGAAATGCTGTGATGGCAGAGGTGGGGATCAAAGTGCTGAGGGGGAGCCAGTAAGGCCAAGAATGGCCAGGAGGCAGCAGGAGATGGAAGAGGCAATGAAGACTCCCCTCTACAGGCTTCAGAGGGGCCTGGCCCTGCCGACATCTGGATTTTGGATTTCTAGCCTCCAGAACTGTGAAAGAGTCGACTTCTCTCATTTTCCAGTTTGGGTCCTTTGTTATGGCAGCCACAGGAACTCACACAGGAACTCATCCCTGGGTCACACGACCCAGGGATGTTAGGACAGCATGGCCCATTCCCTGAGTCAGTGATATTCCTCCCTGTAAAACCAGGACACTGTGGCTCGTGTGGGCTGCAGTCGCCTTGTGAGAGGCGATCCCGGATGGAGGAGGTCTTTTATCATACAAAATACAGTTCTGAATACACAAGGAAGCCAGTTTCCCTCTCTGAAGAGGGGACCAAGTGTCACGGTCCTGAGAGAAGGCATTCTACCAGGAGGGTTGGAGGTGTTGGGCAGAGTGGAGAAGACCAGGGTACGGGAACTCGCCTGCAAGGGCCTGGCAGAGGGATCACCTGAGAGAGGAGGGGACCTCTGAGAAGGTGGGAGGTGGGCAGAGACCAGCCTTGGTGCCTCTTTGCTAACATAAAGGGCTTCCACCCATGCTTGGGACATCTGCCTGCACCCCCGCTCACCAGATTCCACAGATGCAAGCATCTTCTTCCAGACGCGGTACTGCAGGGAGCCCAGGTACTTGCAGACATCGATAAGCATGCCAGGCTGGACTGGTTCTGGCTCCATGGTGCAGAAGAGTCTGGAAAAGTACAATGGGGTATGGCAGGCAGGGCCAGAGTCATGCATCCTAGGCCAAACTGGGCCAACTGGAAACCAGCAACGGGACTCATTCCCTTCCCTCAGGCCCAAGTTTCCTGGCCACCTTCCCCAAGACAAGACTGGGTTGGACTATGATGGGAGATGGGCCAAGGCCAACAGGGCTGTTACTGCCCTTCAGAATTCAGTCTGAGGGCTCACCCTGCCCCACCTAGGAGAAATACAAACAGGAGGTTCTCTAACATGGCTGCCATCCTTGCAGGCAGAAATCACACTTACACATCCGGCTCACGGGATGTCTGAGCTGGAAGGGACCCTAAGGATGCTCTAGTCCAACGGTCCCAAGGTGTCCTCCGGCCTTTGCTTGCACACTGCCAGTGGGAAGTGAGCACAGGGAACTCACTCCCTCCAAAAGCACTCTCTTCCATCTTTGGACAGCTCTGACTGGGACACAGCTCTTCCTCATTCATCCCTGTGAACCCAACAACCATCAACACAAACCACTGTGGCCTAAGGCTCTCAGAGGGAGGGGGCTGACCGAGAAACAAGCCTGACATTGACTGGCCCGAGAAACGCGAGCCACGTGCAGGACGGTGTTCTCCTTCCCTGCACGGCAGGCGGGGACCCTCCACACTCAGGAGAACAATACTGCCCCAGAGCCAGCTGGAACTGGATGCTGTGAGAGGGCTCTCTCCACCTGGCCATTGTCCACCACTCCCTCTCACAACCAGGGCACAGTAGCTCATGTGGGCTGGTGCACCCAGCTGGCTGTTCACCTGCTTGCCCCGGGGCCACTGGAGTTTGCACCCCTGGTATTTCTGCCCACTCCTGCCCTCCCCTCCACCCGCTTTGGCAACTTACCGGCGTTTTCGGCTCTTGTGTTTCTGAAAAAAATGAAAATAAAAAAATAACAACACAGAGCCACAGATATAGAGGAAATATATACGTTTCTGACCTCAAAAGGAGTCATGTATTCCACGGATCCTAAGTCTTAATATTGTCAAGATGTTAACAATAACATCTCTGCTATGATTTGGACATATTATCCGAAAGTTCATGTGTTGAACACTGAATCCCCAATGCAACTGTGTTGGGAGGTAGGGCCTAAAAAGAGGTGACTGGGTCATGAGGGCAGAGCCCTCACAATTGGATTACTGTCATTACTGTGAAGCGGTTTAGTTATCATGAGACTGTGTTGCTATAAAACAATGAGCAACTACTGTGTCTTGCACTCATTTCCTCCTTCTGCCATGAGATGGCCCGCACCAAATGCCAGCGCCATCATGTTCCTGGACTTCCTGGCCTCACCCAGAACAATGAGCTGAATAAACTTGGACTGTTTTATAATTTACCCAGTCTGTGATATTTTGTCATAGCAACAGAAAACATACTAAGACACTCCTTAAGTTGACCTGCTGACTCATTGTAATCCGTTATCCTAGCTGGCTTCTTTGCAGAAACTAAAAAACTGATCCTAAAATTCACACAAAATTTCGAGGGACCCAGAACAGCCAAAACCATCTTGAAAAAGAAGAACATTGGAAGACTCATAATCCCCAATTTCAAGACTTACTACAAATCAACGGTAATCAAGATATGTGGTGCTAATATAAAAACAGGCATTGGGATCAATGGAATAGAATTGAAAGTCCAGAAATAAACCCTCATATTTACCATCAATCAATTATTTACAAGAGTGCCAAGATGATTTAATGGAGTAATAAACAGTCTTTCCAACAAATGGTACTGGGAAAACTGTATGTTGACATGCAAAAAAAAAAAAAAAAAAAGAAAAAAAAAGAAGTTGGGCTAACCCTTACTATACCATATACAAAAAATAACTCAAAATGCATCAAAGACCTACCTGTAGAGTTAAAACCGATAACGAACTTGTATCTAGACTATATAAAGAACTCTTACAACTCAACAATAAAAAGACAACCCACGTTAAAAATGGGCAAAGGATCTGAATAGACATTTGTCCAAGGAAGATCTACTAATGATCAAAAAGCCCATGAAAAGATGTTCCAGGTCATTAGCCATCAGGGAAATGATGACATGCAATACACAAGGAGATACCACTTCACACCTACAAGGATAGCTATAATTTTTAAAAAACAAATTTTGGCAAAAATGTGGAGAAACTGGAATCCACATACACTCCTGACGGGAATATAAAATGATACAGCTGCTCTGGATAATGGCCTGGCAGTTCTTCCAATAGTTAAACCTAGAGTTACCATATGATCCAGCAAATCTACTCCCAGACGTATTTCCAAGAAAAATGAAAATATGTCCACATAAAAGTTGCTACCTCAATGTTTACAGCCATATTATTCATAATAGCCAAAATAGAAACAACCCAAATGACCACTGTCTTAGTTCATTTTGTGCTGCTGTAACAAAATACCACAGACTGGGTAATTTATAAACAATAGTTTATTTCACTCGTGGTTCTGAAGCTGGGAAGTCCAAGGGCAAGGCACTGGCTTCTGATGAGAGCCCTCACGCTGTGTCATCCCATGGCAGAAGGAAGAAGGGCAAGCGACCACACATAAGACCAAGAGCAAGAGAGCAAGAGGGGCCCAAATTCACTTTTATAACAAGCCCACTCTCTCAATAACTAACCCACTCTGCCAGTAACAACATTAACCCATTCATGAGGGCTCTCAGGACCCAATCACTTCTTATTAGGCTCCACCTCCCAACACTGTTGCATTGGGGATTAAGTTTGCAACACATAAATTTTGGGGAACATATTTAAACCACAGCAACCACCAACTGATAAATCAATAAATAAAATGTAATATAGCCATGTGCGACATAACGATGTTTCAGTCAACAAGGAACCACATATATGACTCTGGTCCCATGAGATTACATCACCATATTTTTACTGTACTTTTTCTATGTTTACATACACAAATACTTAACAGTGGGCTCTAGTTGCCTATAGTATTCAGTACAGCAACATGCTATACAGGTTTGTAACCTAGGAGCAAAAGGCTATTCCATATAACCTAGGTGTATAGTAGGCTACACCATGTAGGTTTATGTAGGCACACTTCATGACATTTGCATAATGAAAAAAATTGCCTAATAACACATTTCTCAGAACATATCCCCATCACCAAGCAATGCATGATTGTGTATCTATGCCATGCAATATTATTCGGCCATAAAAAGGAATGAAGTACTGATAGATGCTACAACATGAATGATGTTTCAAAATATGCCGACTGAAAGAAGGCAGTCACAAAAGGTTACATGTTATATAATTCCATGCATTTGAAATGTCTAGAATAGGTAAATCTATATAGATAGTATGTAGATTAGTGGTTGCCAGGGGCTGCTAATTCTAGTAATTACCACTCTGTTAGACTCAATTTAGGTAACAGTTTTTATGTGGGAGGAGGAACTGGGGAGTGACAGCTAAAGCAGGGCTGCTTTTGGAGGCATGAAATGTTCTAAAATTGTCGTGATGGTTGCACAACTCTGTATATACTAAAAATCACTGAGTGGTACATTTTAAATGGGTGAATTGTTTAGCATGTAAATTATATCTCAATAAAGTTGCTAATAAAAAATAAAAAGGAGTCACAAACCAAAATCATCCCTGAAAGCACTCTGGGTACTGGGCAAGACAATACTCCCAGTTCCCTAAACAGAATCCATGAGACACACAGCTTTTAGATCCCATGAAATGGTTTTTCTATCTTTTTTTTTTCCTTCATTTTTCTTTTTAGAGACAGCTCTGAACACAGAATGATTTCATAATCAGGGACATTTTGGAGACAGAAGGCTTCATGGTTCGAGGCTCTGAGTGAGGTGGAGAACTCCTAAAGGTCCCACCCAGGAGGTGACACTGCCTGAACAGGTAACCGTCCCTGTCACCTCCCACTCTGCTCTACAGCGACACCCCTTCCACAGCAGTCAGCTGTTTTCCAGGGACAGGAGACACCTCACCACCCTGGCCAGTTTACAGACCAGCTTTCAAGCCCAGAAATTTCCCTGCAGGAAATTTGTAAGGACCGATGGCTCATGGAGAAGAAATAAATCAATAAAAGGAAGAAAAAATGAATAATACTGTTCTTTAAAAGAGAGAACAGAATCATCTTTTTCTTAAGAAGACAGAAAGCCAAGGCATCATATTTAAATAAAAAATTTAAATAATTGAATGATTTTTAAAAGAATTCATTTTATTAAAAGGTAGAGACAGGCCGGGCGCGGTGGCTCACGCCTGTAATCCCAGCACTTTGGGAGGCCGAGGCGGGCGGATCACGAGGTCAGGAGATCGAGACCATCCTGGCTAACATGGTGAAACCCCGTCTCTACTAAAATTACAAAAAAAAAAAAAAATTAGCTGGGCGTGGTGGTGCGCACCTGTAGTCCCAGCTACTCGGATGCTGAGGCAGGAGAATGGCATGAACCCAGGAGGCGGAGCCTGCAGTGAGCCAAGATGGCGCCACTGCACTCCAGCCTGGGCGACAAAGCGAGACTCCGTCTCAAAAACAAAAAAACAAAACAAAACAAAAAGGTAGAGACAGGAAAAAAATGAGAGTAAGAGAGAGGGCAAGAGAAAGGAAGAAAGAAGAGACAGGAGCTGGGCACAGTGGAGCGCCAGCAGTCCAACTACCTGGGAGGCCAAGGTGAAAGCATTACTTGAGGCCAGGGATTCAAGACCAGCTTGGGCAACATAGTGAGACCCCCCTCACCCCCACCTGACTGTTAAAACATGAAAACCTTAGCTGGGCCTGGTGGCTCGTGCCTGTAGTCCCAGCTACTCAGGAGGCTAAGGAGAGAGGATCACTTGAGCCCATGAGTTTGAGGTTACACTGAGCTATAATCAACCACTGTACTCCAGCCTGGGTGACAGAGCAAGACCCTGTCTCTAAAAAAAAAGAAGAGAGAGGAAGAAATAAGAGGGTTTCAAGGAACTCCGCCCTGGTGAGTCTTTTTAGCTTTATGACACAAGCAGAGCAGGTCACTTGTGAGCTCTTCCAGGCCAGTACCCGGGAAGCTCCAGGAAGATGAGGTTGGCCAGGGCTGGTGGGCTGTGGCTCCCAGCTGGTGCTGGAACATCTGGCCCTGTCACTGAATCCAGATGCTGAGCTCCTTACCATGAGAAAAGAAACGTCGTCCTCCTTCATCTCCATCTGCAGCCGCTCAATCTCATGTGCCAGCACCTCTGTCTCCTCTGTGAGCTGCTTCATCTTCTCGTCGGCCAGAAGCTGCTTCTGCCTTGTCTCCTCGGCCATGGCATCCAGAATGGCCTGCTCCTCCACTCTCAAGAACTCGCGAAGCTTATCAAACTCCTGCCGGATCCGGCCTTCCAGCCACGCAGCCTCCACCTACAGCAGAGAGCGGGAGGGAGTCAGGGGTCAGATACGGAGGGAACCTCCATAGCCCAGCAACTTTCCCATTTTTAGCAAAGGAACTTTATGTTCAAAGAAATCATGGATAGAACTCCTATAGATAAAATATCAACATAATAGTTTATAAGCATCAACATAATAGTTTATAAGCATCAACATAATAGTTTATAAGCACACATTTCTAAGTTCAGATTTCAAATGGGAAAGTAAAACAACCTAATAATAGGTTGTTTTGATAGGGTTTTTTAAAAAATAAAATCACAGCTTATAGATTGCAACTGTAGTACTATAATCTCATCTACATACAATGTTCAGTTCCTTCTTTAGGTTGCACCATAACAAGGAAGTCCTGAATCACAGAAACGAATGGCTGCAAATAGCAATGATTTTTTTTAAAGTATTTGCCTTCTAATCTTAGGACTTAAAATTTGTCTGATCCAGAGGCTTTACCAAAGGAGCAGTAGGAAGTATTTATTTTAAAATAATCATTAAAATAATATACACACTCCAAATCATAACCACAAAAGGTTTGTTGGTTTTTTTTTCTTTTTTTTTTGAGACTGAGTCTCACTCTTTCGCCTAGGCTGGAGTGCAGTGGCGTGATCTTGGCTCACTGCAACCTCTGCCTCCTGGGTTCAAGCAATTCACCCTGCCTCAGCCTCCCAAGTAGCTGGGACTACAGGTGTGTGCCACCACGCCCGGCTAAGTTTTGTATTTTTTAGCAGAGACAGGGTTTCACCATGTTGGTCAGACTGGTCTCAAACTCCTGACTTAAGGTGATCCACCCACCTCGGCCTCCCAAAGTGCTGGGATTACAGGCGTAAGCCACCGTGCCTGTCCTCACAAAAAGTTTTTTCAAAGGGAAGATAAAACCATAAATGTAATTAAAGAAAAAGCAAATAAAGCTTGGAATAAGAAAGCTTTAATAAGAAAGACATTCCTTGGCGCAGTACAAAACTGAGAAGCCTCGAAGAAAGAATGAGATAACTGAATACATAGAAGAGTAAGAGGTGTGTATGGCAAGAGACTATTCATAAAGTTAAAGACAAAAATATAATTCCATGACAAGTGTTAGAAAAACCATTCGAAATGTGTGCTGTGGCAATGGCAGGTTAGTAATCTCATCTTTGGACTGAAAGTTAAATATTGATGTTCCTCAACGTATGATGGGGTTACATCCCAATAAGCCCATCGTAAGTTGAAAAACGGTTAAGTCAAAGCAATGAATACACCTAAACTACTAAAAACATCATAGGTTAGCCTAGCCTACCTTATTTATTTATTTATTTATGAGACGGAGTCTTGCTCTGTCGCCCAGGTTGGAGTGCAGTGGCACGATCTCGGCTCACTGCAAGCTCCGCCTCCCGGGTTCACGCCATTCTCCGGCCTCAGTCTCCCAAGTAGCTGGGACTACAGGTGCCCGCCACCATGTCCGGCTAATTTTTTGTACCTTTTTAGTAGAGACGGGGTTTCACCATGTTAGCCAGGATAGTCTTGATCTCCTGACCTCGTGATCCGCCTGCCTCAGCCTCCCAAACTGCTGGGATTACACGCGTGAGCCACTGCACCCGGCCTAGTCTAGCCTACCTTAAACGTGCCCAGGACACTCACATTAGCCTACAGTTGGGCAGAATCATCCAACACAAAGCCTATGTCATAACAAAGCACTGAGTGTCTCATGTAATTTATTGAATACTGTACTGAAGGGGAAAAACAGAATGGTTGTATGGGTACTCAAAGTACAGTTTCTACTGAATGCACATTGCCTGTGCACCATGGTAAAGTCAAAAAATCATAAGCCAGGGACTGTTTGTATGTTTATAGCTCTGAAAATATAGCAAAAGGATTCACTGAAAAAGTGAAAATGGCCAAAAAAATTGAAAATGACCCACTGAAAAAGAAATGACAAACAGGAAGTATATTTGCAACATTTATAACTAATGGCTATTATTCTTAATGTACAAAGCACTCTTACAAATCCACTGAGAGAAAAGACAAATATTCCAAGGGAAAAAAAGAATGTGAATTAGCATTCACAGAAGAAACATAAATGGCCGTTATGCTTGTGAAAACGTGTACAGACTTACCAATAATCAAAGAAATGCAAATGAGGACAAACAGCAAGGCTAACCCATCAGACTGAAAAGACTGATGTCTGCGTTGGAGAGAGTAGAATCCAGGGTGATTCTTTTTTTTTTTTTACATTTAAGTTCCAGGATACATGTGCAGGATGTGCAGGTTTGCTACATTGGTAAATGTGCGCCATGATGGTCTACTGCACCTGTCAACCCATCACCTAGGTATTAAGCCCCGCAAGCATTAGCTATTTATCTTGACGCTTTCCCTCTCCTCGATAATTCTTATCACACAGAAAAATCAAGAATAGAGCATGGCAGGAAAAACCAGCAAGTGCAAGGTCAACTCCTGCCCACTCACCGTGGGCAATGACGGCCTCACTGTAAAGGAATAAACACCAGAACTTTCACTTTTCTCATCGACTTGATAAACTGAATTTAATAGACAAAGTATTAATCAGGCTGGAATCCTAGGGGCTTCCCACGTGACCTCATTACCCTCAGCCTCAGCAAAAAGCTCAGGACTCCTATACTCCCTGGGATGGGCAGGCAGTACTGCCACATGGACAGACAGACACTCCCCAAGTATCCCCAACCCAGTCCTGGACAAGGCAAGCCAGGCATATGGCTTTAGCCACAAAAGGAAACCAAGTAAGAGAACAATGATGAAGCTACATGACTCCACAATGACTACTGGAAAAACAACTCAACAAATTCCAGCAATAGCAGGTTCGTAATTGCTATTTGGAGTTGGAATTTCAACATATATTTATAGCTCTGACATCAGATGACAAAATAATCCACTGAAACAGTGAAAACTCTCTCCCACCAGTTTGTCGGTCTATTAGACATCAGAAATGTTAACGACTTCTCTCTGTTGGGCACTTATATGCACTATTTTATCTGAATTTTTTTTTTAATCCTAGTAAGAGGGAATTGCCCTCTTTTTAGAGGAGGGGATTAGCTTGGAGGGGGTTGAGGGATCCGCTGGCGAACTGGGCTTAGGTTTGGAAATAGGTCTGCTTTGCGGTTACTGCCCTGGTGCCTAGTGTGTCACATGGTCCTTTCTTCCACTCTGTTCCACCAGCTCTGTGGCTCAGGGTAAACCCACAGCCAGATGTTAATGAGGCCCTTTCCTGGGCCTAATCCTCACCTTTGGACACATAGTGGAAGGGACCACAGGCTCCTGAGGACAACGCCCAGCAAACCGGAACAGGCATGGCTCAGCTGTCGCTAACACGAGTCTAACAGAGTGGTAATTACTAGAGGCAGCCACCTCAGAAAGCCAAAGACCAGAGCCAAGATCAAAAGTCAGAAACAAGGCTGCCAATCCACATAGGACCTGGAGGAAGAGAGGGTGCCAGGCAGAACAACCAGAGTGGGCACAGAGGGAGCCCATTCATTCATTTGATTAAGTTATTGGTCACCTACTCACTTCACTCAATCAACAAACATTTTTATTGGTCACCTATTGTGTGCCAAGAACTCCTCTAGTTAATTGGCAATAGTGTGCCCTGTTTTCATTATATGCTGATGGGAAGGGATAAAAAGCAGATAGAAAACCAAAGGTAATTACAGGTAATGAAGTGTCATCAAGGAAATAAACCAGGAAAGTATGCCATTGAGTAACAGAGGAGGGTGATCAGGAAAAGCTTCTTGAAGGGGACATCTGAGATTTTAATGGCAAAGATGCTGGGCTCACATTCTGGGGTGAAGACTTAGTTTGCTTAAGGGACAGAAAGAAGATGAGGCAGAGAAGTAAATGAGGTTGAGGATAGGCAGGGTCAGGCAATGGCCTCGGAGGCCATGGTAAGGAATCTGGGTGGTACCGAGGGTGACTGGAAGCCACTGGCAGTTTTAAGCAGAGGAGGGTCACTGCTGGTGTGTTTTACTAAACGATCACCCCAGTCCGTGGAAAGCAGAACACAAAAGAATGAAAGCACGAGGCCCAGGCAGGAGGCCCAGTGAGAGATGATGGTGACCTGGACCAGAACATAGAGTTTGACAGAAATAACGTATTTTAGAGATGGGGGAATAGGATTGCTGATGGAGTGGACGTGGGAACTGAAAGAAAACAAGAAATTACATGAGTCCCAGGTCATCACTGAACGCACAGGTGGTGGTGATATGATGCATGTGCCATAGGGCAGATGGTGTTGGTAGCTTTTTAAGTCACTCCTGTGGCTGCTGGCATGATCACACCTGGGTCTTTAGAGGGGCCAAGGCAGAGAAGCCACGGTCAGCATCCAGGACGTGGCTGCACAGGACCATCAGAGGTAAGAGAGCCCACCTCTACCCAGAGGGTTATGTGAGCCAAAGCCAGGGCCGACGCATCTTCACTCCTCCCCCGACTGCCCAGAGTGGACCCAATCTCCCCACTCAGCCCCATCGTTCACTCACCTGATTGTGCTTGGCGATGGCCTCATAGGAGCGCCGCATGGCCCAGAAGGCCTTGGCCTTCTCCCGCAGCGCATGCTCCATGTTCCTGCACTTGGCCTGATGTGGGAATGAGAGGAAGACAGGTTAGGGCTGGAGGTTGGGCACGGAGGGCAGACACATCACATTTACAACTGGGACTCCACTTCAACACAAGTGTAACTCAAATGCATTTGCCGAACCCCATCCATGCCAAGTGCTGTGGGCACAGATGGTTAAGTACAGTCCTGATCCTGAATCAGACATCTATGGGATAAAGGGCCCTCAGATATCCTCCAGTCCAGCCTGGTACAGACTGGGAGATGGGGCTGAGAAGTGATCTGCTCTCATGTTGGTCACAGCACCAGCTAGAAGAGTGTCCCATGAGGGCCAAAAGCTGGTTCATGCTGGGTCTGAATCCCTGAGCTGTGCAGACAACTGCAGACAGTGTGGTCACAGGTTCCCTTTGCAATTTCCTAAACTGAATGGGTCTGCAATCTCTAACAGGCGGTGACTGACAATGGGGGTGGAGCCGGTCATTTCCCATGGGGTTCAGTTACCTCCCATGAGGCCTTACCTCAACATGGCCCTCCATACCCCTCCCGCATCCTGACATTCTAACACTGCTTGGATCGCATGGAATACTTTAATCAGCAGGCACAAATATTTTTCGTTTAGTAGTTTTTGTTTCTTAAACTTTAATGATTGTTTCTGATGTCCTTGGACGACCTGAAGAACCACGACAGTGTTTTATGTTGGATTCCTGCCTCTTGTATCTGAGGCCTATCATTTTCTCTCCCTCTTTATCCTTTTCGATCTACAGTCTCAGAAAGCGTCTGAAGTTTTTTCTTAAGAAAAATAATTCAAACAATTATAAATGGTTATCATGTATTCAGCACTTACTCTGTGCCAAGGACTATGCCAATTACTTGAGAATTTATGTCATTTAATCATTACTCCTCTCTAGTAGATAAGTTATATTACTGGCCCCATTTACAGATGAGAAAGTGAGGCACAGAAGGGAAACGACCAGCCCAAGGGCACACAGCTAGTACGTGGAAGAGTCAGGACGTGAACCCGGACAGCTGTGGAGGCAGCTGCTGAGACAGCACCCAGTGATTCCTCCCTCCTGTGAGATGAGTGTTTCAAGCTGCTAAATGTTGGGGTGACTGGTTACGCAGCCATAAATTATACAGATGTGTCCCCCAAAACCTTATTCCCATCTGGACCTGATTTAGATGACAAATCTGGACTTCGGGCTGATGCTGTAAAGGGATGAGACGTTTGGGGAGCTTGGGAGAGGGCAAGTGCATTTTGCATGTGGGAGGGACATGACTCCTTGTGGGCAAAGGGCTGATTCAGGCAGGCAGCCTCTAAAGTGGCCCCAGTGACCCTCAGTTCCTGGTACTCATGCCCTTGTGAAATCCCCTCCCCTGTGGGCTAGTGACTTGCTTCTGACCAAAAGAATGTGGCAAGTGATACTAAGTCACTTCTGAGGTTAGGTGACAAAGGCTGTGCACACCCTGCCTTGCTCTCTCTAGCTTGCTCACTGGGATGGCAGCCAGCTGTCCATGTGGTCATCTGCCCTGGGAGTGACTGCTGGGGCAAGAAACTGAGAGTAGCTTCTGACCTACAGCCAGTGAGGGACTCATGCTCTCAGGCAAACAGCCAGTGAAGACCTGCATCCTGCCAACAGCTACACATGTGAGTGTAAATGAGGAGCCTGCCCTAGCTGAGCCTTCAGATGAGACCACAGCTCCGTACCTACAGCCCCTCATGACAGGCCTTGAGGCAGAGGCACCCAGAGCTAAGGCAGGCCCAATTCCTGACCGACAGAAACTCAAAGATAATAAATGTTTGTTTTAAGGCATGAAGTTTTGGGGCAATTTGCTAGGAAATAGAAAACTAGCCCATTGGCTAGAATTAGCCCACAGTACCCTGACTGCAGCCCCTCATGAGACACCTTGAGGCAGAGGCACCCAGAGCTAAGGCAGGCCCAATTCCTGACCCACAGAAACTCAAAGATAATAAATGTTTGTTTTAAGGCGCTAAGTTTTGGGGCAATTTACTAGGAAATAGAGAACTGGCCCATTGGTCCCACTCAGTAGCCCATTCCTTTAAGTCTTACAGCACAGAAAACAAAATGGTTACTGATTTCATTTTCTGCAGTTCTGTTTTATTTTCAACTCATTTCGATCTTCTCATCTTAAGTGAGAATATTTAAGATTTTTAAACATTGTTTTCTATGGTATATCATCTATAGTTTGCATGAATGCCCCCACGAAACCACTGAAATGTCATTCCAATGTTTTATTTTATAGAATGAGATTTTTGACACAAAATCATGTAAGAGTCCAAAAGGACAATTTGGTGATTTGTCAAATTAGTGTAAGTGACAGGAGTGAAGCAGCTGCCCATATGCATTACCCAGAGGTGTGCAGGCCCCAAAACAACACAGCCCAGCCCCTGCCCTTCAACCCTGGCCCTTAGGAAGTCATGGGACAATAAGGATGGAAAGGGGATAGTCCCTTGATCTTCTCAAACTTTTCAACCACTTAAGAGAGTTCTGGTTTCCTTTAGAAAAGACCAATCCTAAAATGGCCCTTCTCTGAGATGTCAGTTGATGAGACTAACCAACAATTATATTACTATTACTAGCAAGCAGTTACTATTAAGCATGTACTATACACAAGGCACTAAATTATGCACTTTACACTCTATTTAATTCAATTATTTAATTTGAATTCTCCCTGTAAGGTAAGCACTGTGAGTCCAACTATACAGAGGATCAAGTTAGACCCAGAGGAGGTAACCCTCTTGTACATGTCTCCTGGGGACACATGTGAACTCATTTCTCTGTAATATATTCCTGGGGATAAAACTGCTGGGCCACCAGATGTGTCTTCAACTTTAGTAGGTAATGCCAAACTGTTTTCCAAAGCAGTGGTACCAATTTTTACAGCAAGAGCAATGTTAATGGAAAATGTTTATTGACCACTTCGATGTTTATTTTTAAGTACTCAGTAAAGTACTGCCCATTTTTCCATTACGTTGCCTGCCATTTTCCTAACTGCTGTGTGGGAATTTATTATATACACACAATGTATGTCCTTGATTAGTTAGAGATGTAATGGATATTTCTACTTCATCGTTTATCTTTCTTAATTGAAATATGGCCATATGTATTAGTCTTTTCCTTTAGGATTAGTACACTAGTTTTAAGAAACGCCTCCCTACACTGAGATCACAAAAACAATCATATTATTTTCTCAAAGCTTTACGACTTTGCATTATTATTGTATAGCTCTGTATTATTTTCTCAAAGCTTTATAGCTTTCCTTTCACATTTAGGTCTGATGTGGGTACCTGGAGTTTATTTTTGTACATGGTGTGCCCAGGTAGCTCATTGTCTCAGCACTGTTATTTAAAAAGACCATCTCTGCTCACTGGTCTGCAGAGCCACCTCTGTCTTAAATCAAACATACATCTGTTACTTGGTTCTCTCCATCTGTTTCTCTGGCCCATCTGTTTATCCTTGTGCTGATATTACACAGCCTTAATTTCTGTAGCTGTAACAAAGAGGATTTCTGATGGGTTTCTCTTCAAGAATGTCTGGGCAATTTTTGGCCCTTTGAGGGTCATATAAATTTTAGAATCTGTTTGTGAAGTTACACAAAAATAATCGTGTTGAGATTTAGATTAGTACAGTATTGTCTCTATAGATCAATTCGGGGAAAACTGAAAAGCTTAAATACTGACTCTACTAATCCACGAACATAATATATCTCACCAGTTACTTAATGTTCTTTGATATCTCTCAATGAAGTATATTTTTCCCTATCAGAATTTTGCATATTTTTTGTTAATTTCTTCCTAGATATCTTATTTTTTATATTATCGTAAACATATTTTTAAACTAAAAAAAAAAAAAAAACCAAAACAGGGTCTCCCTCTGTCACCCAGGTTGCAGTACAGTAGTGCAATCATAGCTCACTGCAGCCTCCTGTGCTCAAGTGATCCTCCCACCACCTCAGCCTCCCAAGTAGCTGGGACTACAAGCATGCACCACCACACCTGGCTAATTTGTTTTAATTTTTTGTAGAGACAGGGCTATGTTGTGCAAGCTGGTCTCAAACTCCTAGGCTCAAACAATCCTCTGGCCTCAGCCTCCCAAAGTGCTGGGATTACAGGTGTGAACCTCCATCTATGTCTCATTTTCTATTTGCTAGTGATACATAGAAATACAACTGGTTTTGTATCTTGATTTTGGATTCAACATTCGCCTCAACTTATTAATACTCATGATTTAACTGTAGAATCTTTATTTTCTACACATAGAAATCTCAGTGCAAAAATACGCAACCCGTATTATCTACATGCCAGTTTTTCTTCCCTTCTTTCCAAACCTTACATCTTTTATTTATAATTCTTGCCTTAGTTCCTTGACAAGGCTATCCTGCACAAAACTGAATAGAGTCGGTCATAATGGGCATTCCTGTTTTTTTCTTGATGTCAATAAGAAAGCTTTCAATGTTTTGCCATTAAATGTGATATTTGCTATAAGTTTTTTTACTAGATATCCTTAATCGAAGTAATAAAATTCCTTCAATTCCTAGTTTCCTGCTTTTTTAGTCACAAAAAGATGGTAAATTTTATCAAATGTTTTTTCACTGAGATAATTATATTAAGCAACACAGAATTAGGTTTCATTTTCTTATCCAGTCATATCAACATTTTCATTTAACTGGAGCATTTGACACACAATTACCGATATGTTTGCATTTAAATCTGCCACCTTGTTCTGAGCTATTTGTCTTGCTTATTCTATTTTTCTTTTTCTTCCTTTCCTATTTTAAAATTTACTACACATTTTTTTACTCCACTTTTCCCCTTCTGTGCATCTAGTAGTTAACCTAGGAAATATGACATGTAAGAAGTGTGAATTTGAATGCATCTAAACAATATTCTTTTGTTTGCTTTTGGTATTAATTTTAACCCTAAATATGCTTGGATTACAAATAGAACTACCACTCAAGAGACCTGCCTGTAGCCCAAGGAGCACATGAATGGGCAGTAGCAGG